ACAATAAAAAGTTTAAAGTAGCAAAATAAGTAAACTTTTTTTGAATATGCATTTGAATTTGGAATCTAGACAAAGCAGCTGCTGAAATATAAGAGCAAATTGAGTGAAATCTGCACTTATGAACTAGTATTACATCACAGAGCTTCTTATCAAGAGTCTTGTCAAGAAAGGCCTGTGTCAGTGAGTGACAGTCAATGAATCTGATGGGAGATGGGAGACCTGTAATAGTCCATAAACTGGCCTTTCTCATTCACTATGATGTGCATCCTCCTTAGTACAAAACCACAGATGAACTGGAATGAAAAAAATGACAGCATCCTAATTTGCCAATGAGGACTGCCACGATTAGCTCTCAACATTTTATGAGCCTTGTTTCCTCGTGGAAATCGGATCTGTGCTGAAATGGTCCATGTCCGACACATCAGCCTACATTAGGAGGTCTGCATGCATGTGTCAGAGTGAGTTTAACTCCCCGCACTCGGCCGTGAAGAACTTAATGAATCGGACTCCGAGCTCTGCTGTGAATATGACTGACTGAGCAGCAGGTGCAGACACTCTTTATTCATCACACATGACTCAGTCCTACTGTACGACCAGATATCTCTTAATGCCAAATATATATATATATATATATATATATATATATATATACATACACATATACAGGAGCAGATTAAGGTGGTCAGGGGCCAAATTTATTTAACTAATCATCTGTAATAAATGTCATTTCAGTTTTACTTTCTGAGTATGAATTATCATATGCAGTAAAAACAACAACACAAGCACTGTAAAAGGTTTTGTTCAACTGACTGGCTTCTCTCCTGTATGATTTCATGTGAGTCTCTTCAGACCCTAGAACTGTACATGAATTATGAGCTTCTAGAATGCATATTTTTAGAATATTGGCTGTTTATTAGTACTTATAAAGCACATATTCTGCATGACCTTATTCTACATCCCTAATCCTACCCAATACCTGAACATAACTACCTAACTAACTATTAATAAGCAGCAAATTAGGAGTTAAGCGTGAAAAGTCATATTTAATAGTTAGTTAATAGTGAGGATTGGTCCCCAAACTAAAGTGTGACCTGTAAATCAGATGATTTATTGCTATATCACAACTGACTGAAACCATTTCACTACTTTGCTATGAGCAGATGCTGCTCAAGTTTTTCCTTTGTCCTCAATTTCTCTTTCACCGTATTTTACATTTAACTAACAGAAGTCAGTTCCTTAATGACGGTATCCTTCAGAAAGTGACAGTGTTGCCGGTCTCATGAAAATGCGTAAATAGTACGCCAAACAAAAACAAAAAACTCGTGGTACAGATGCGCAAAAAAATGACTTTGGCGTGCATATGATACGCACGTGTTTGGCGTGCATATGACGCAGTTTTCGCGTACATATGATACGCATCTACCCCTCAACCCGAGATGGGCTACTGCACAACCCTAATCCTACCCATTGCGTAGCATATACACGCTAAAGTCAGTTTCTGCGTATCAATACCACGAGTTTTTGTTTTTTATTTGGCGTACTATTTATACGCACTTTCGTGAGATCGGGTTGATCTGTCGGACGCGAGTCGTTCAACGTCCTTATGCACACAAACTTAAACTTTAAATTATACATTAATACCTTACAGTGATTTTACCGTTTAAAGTACCGCGTGGTTAAAAACAAAAACCCTTTAAAATTACCATAACGCATGGCCTTTTATAATATATATATATATATATATATTTAAAACAGCAATATTACACTCAGTGTTCAATTAATTTTTACATTGTGGATTAGTGATCAAACAACATAGTAGAATGATTTCTGGGATCATGTGACACTGAAGACTGTAGTAATGCTGAAAAGTCAACGTTTGCATTACAGAAATAAACTGACATTAAAAAAAAAAAAACATAGGCTATATATACAAAACAACAAACGAACAAAAAAAAAACAACACTTAAAAATCACACAAAACCAAGGCACTCAAGGTGGAGTAAAAATAAAAAGCCTAAACAAACAAACACTCAAGTACTTATCTGATGTAAATACACACTGTTATTGGTATTGACATTGGTGATTGTGTTTGATGTAAATATATATTTTGATGTTTTACATAGTTGATTTTTGATATATTGTGTTTGAGCTAAATATGTTGTGATTTTTTTTCTTTTGATTATGCTGATGATTTGAATTTCCTCTCTTATTTGACCAAGTCAGGTGATCATGTCTGACTAATTGTTTGGAGTATAAAATACTTGAGTATGTTTGTTTTACACCCTGATGAAGGCCTGTTAAACACAACGTGTTTGTGTGCACCGATACGTTTTTAACATTATTATAGAGAAAATTTTTATTTTGTTACACATCCTTGACTGCCTTGGTTTTGCATGCTTTTTATGAGTTGAACTATCCATTATTCCAAAGCGCATCAGGATTTGAGAGTTTTTTCACCTCAGCAGCACTTTTTGCATTGTTGGTCTTATTGTCTGACATTTCACAATGTTCTTGTATTTTTTTCCACTTCATTTCCGATTAAATGAATGCAGCCTTGATGTGCATTAAAGACTTTCAAAAACATTCAAATATCTTATACCCCAAACTTTTAAATGGTAATGTACATGTATGCTATTGGAGCAATAAATAGTAAAATAAATAAATGTATAAAAATATATGTATACATTTTAGTTATGTTATAAATATATATTATTTAAATGATTAATAACCATTATTCAATAAGCATTTTTTTTTTTCTAATAGCAATGGATTTTCGGAGTTCAGAATGCCCTGTCCCCTGTGCTGGTGGTTTCTATTGGCCTGTATCAGATGGCAGATCACTGTCTGCACTCCCATTGGTCATTGTCACATTGTGTTGATACTCATTTGCATAAAACTAAGCTGTACACTGCACAAATTGTTGCATCACAAATGGCCCCGGCTCTGGAAATTGCCAACTTCCACTGAAAATGAATGTTGCTTTGTCGCTTCAAACAGCTGTCAGTGTGAACACTAAACTGACTGTCAATCAGTTACAGTTAATAAAGTTGAAATACTTGAATTTGACCAGAGCATATTTTTGAAAGTTTTATATTTTGCGTGAGTAACAACTTAAATTGCACAAGTTTTCTACAGTGACTTTATGCAAGGTCCACCTTTCAGTGTGATACAAGAGTTTATTTTATGATAATAAGCAGCATCTGGTCATGAATGCTGACTGGCAGATGTTCTGTACAGAAAATATATCGTCTAGTGGAAGAATGCAGTTCAACGAATACTTAAGTATTAAAATGAATTTTCTTAATCATTTTAGGATATGCAAGCAGTTTTTACAAATGCTGTTCGGCCTGCTGCATGAATTCTGAACTCATTCCACTGAACACAAGTCTTACAAAGGTGTATATTTTATTTTGACAACTGCATAAAATTAATCACCTGAAAAACCATAATGATAGTGTACGATATCACAATGAAATATTGAGATCACAGACGATTTTCACATAACATTTGCATATCGTTTATGAAGCTTTTATAACAGGCGGATGGTGTTTAGTCGGCTCTCCAAACCTGCAGCACATTTTTAGTCAAGAAATTAAACGGTATGTTATAAAACATACATTAAAAAGACACCTCTAATAAAACTTTGATAGTTCCACATCACAATTTAAAAAACTGCAATAGTAGATAAACAACATTTTAAAGCATATATTAAAACATATGTGACAAAATATCCTTCATCTTAAAAAAATCAAATAAAAAAGAAAATTACAGTAAACAATAAATATGTCAGGAATGTATAGTATACAAATGTGCCATCATTTCTTCTAATACTATTTAGTCTGCTCTTGTAAGTCCCTTGAAATCAAACCACAGTCAAATTATGATATACTAATATCATGACTGTGTTACATCATGAAAACAAGCATATGTTTTACATAAATCCCTGTAATTCAGTGATTTTATGGTGGTTTGATTAGCTCATTATTACAAACACACCCTGAGAACTTTCTTCCCTGACAAAATGTCAAGAATGTCAGGGCATTTCAATGGAATTGGAAAAAAAATAACGGAAGAAAAATATTATTAATGCCACAATTACAATTAAAACATTCTTCACTTGGAATAAATGCCATGACTTTACATTGCATTTCGAAATAGAGTAAATGTGTCACTAGAAAAAGGGATTATTGATATAATGGCATGACTATACGAGATGAAAATCCATACACATCTGATTGTTGAGTCCTAGAAAGGGTCTACTAAGATCTTATGAAAATAAGTCACTTCTATGGAAGCCCGTTTCCGCCACTGAATAAAATCACAATTATCTTTTTATTTTTTTATCTCACAATTCTCACTTTTTACATTTTGTCATTTCTGACTTCTTTTCTCAGAATTCTGTGATATAAACTCGCAATAGCATGTTATAAAGTCAGAATTGCAAGATATAAACTTGTAATTTGAGAAAAAAGGCAGAATTACAAGGAAAACCCAGAATTGTGAGAAAGTCGCAATTACCTTTTGTAGTTTTGTTCAGCGGCGTAAACAGGCTTCCATACATTTCACCCCAAATCAAAGAAAAGAAAAATATTCTGTTTATTTTTGTTTAGTAAATGAAGCCTAATTTAAGAAAATATTTTATTGCCTTTTAGCATTAACTCCAAAAAAATCTAATTACAGTTACGCCCCATAATTCAAATGATATATATATATATATATATATATATATATATATTGGTGACTTTCTTTACATTGATTACTCTATTATGGTAAAAAAAATTTAAACATTTAAAAATAAAATATTTGCATTACAGTAATGCACTGATTTGATTTAAATCAGCATTAATTATGGCAATACAATTTAAATTTATTTTGGCAGTACAGTAATTTGGAGAAAATGTTTAACTGCAATGAAAAAAATGACATGCATAAAATCTTAATGGTCCTAAAAATGCAATCAAAAATAAACAAAAATATTTCTTCCTTTTGATTTTAGGGTGATGGCCCAGGCATGCTCTTGACAGTTTTCATGACATTTACCCTTTCGGCCAGGGACTGTGGTCAGTGGTTTACATCAGTCTTTGTACAAAAGCAAACGTTCAGAAATACACAGAAATGGTGAACACTATTAAAACATTCAGAACTCAGAGACTAAATGAAAAGTGCTACAGTGAGGTTGATAAAGCACAGGCGGCGCTGATGAACGGGACCTCACCTGCATCAGTGCTAGCATGAGGCGTGTGTGTGTCAGGACGGGTCAGGTATCGAACTCTAGCAGTCCACACAGATACTAGGAATGGCTTTAGGGTGCGACCTGAAGCAGGGGTTCAGGCTCTTCTCACCTTGAGGACGCCATTACTCAAGCTTGGCTGCTTGAGCACAGACGGTGTCTTAGATTGTGATGTAATGCTGTCGGAGTTTAGCAACTAAAAACTCATGGGTAAGATTATGTCTGGTGATTATTCCCACGATCTGAGAGAGAGACACAGATGACAAAACACCACTTTATGAAACTGGATGGATTTTATGTTTATGCCTCAATCTACAGACATGAATTTTTAAATCATGAATTGTGTTTCAGTTAAAGGAACACTCCACTATTAGGCTCATTTTCCAACTCTCCTAGAGTTAAACAGCTGAGTTTTACCGTTTTCGAATCCATTCAGCCGATCTTCGGGTCTGGCGGTAGCACTTTTAGCTTAGCTTAGCATAGATCATTGAATCTGATTGAATCCGTTAGCATCTCGCTCAAAAATGACCAAAGAGTTTCGATATTTTTCCTATTTAAAACTTGACTCTTCTGTAGTTACATCGTGTACTAAGACCGATGGAAAATGAAAAGTAGCGATTTTCTAGGCCGATATGGCTAGGAACTCTACTCGCATTCCGGCGTAATAATCAAGGAACTTTGCTGCCGTACCATGGGTGCAGCAGGCGCAATGATATTACGCAGCGCCTGAAAATAG